TTCCCCAATTACTAACTCAAAGCCTGTCTGCAAAAGCAAGGTTTCATTTATACGCATGCACCATCCTCTGTAGAGCAGTAAGAACCTTCTAAACCAGTGGTTCTCAACCTGTGGGTCTTGATCCCTTTGAAAAACCTCTATCTCCAAAAAAGTATTTACAATTAATAACAGTAGCAACATTACAGTTACAAAGTAGTAATGAAATAATGTTATGTTTGGGGACCACCACAACACAAGTAACTATATTAAAGGGTCTCAGCATCAGGAAGGTTTGAGGACTACTGCTCTGGACAGTTTCATATCACCAAGTAAGGGAAAGGTTGCTTGTGGAGGGGCCAACACCATACTACTATCTCTTCTAAAACAAAACAATCCTTAGTTTCCCAAAGGCCATCGACTGGCTGTCAGACTGGCTGTCACAAATTGCCTTTGCCAGTTTGTTTCTTTGAATTACATTTCACAAAAGCCTAGATACAAGGCTTGGATAACCGATCTTTTCTGCCTCTGCAGGCTCCCCCTCCGTCCCTCCTTTTCTTCTGGCAATTGATTTTTGGCAGAAATGGTTGGTGTGTCCCATTCAGTCTTTGCCTTGGACATTGCTGATTGCATGAATCCCCAAAGAATTTTCGTCACATTTCCATTTCCTATTGATATTCTGGGGGTAGGGGGTAGGGGCGGGGAGGTTGATCAGGTTCACCAGGTTCTGGTGCCACTTTCTGGAAAGACTAAGGTGTGTCCTCAACTGGTACTGCTGTTGAGAGATGACTCATCATGTCCCATTGCCTTCCTTTTGCTGTTGAGGCATCACTGGAGGTATTTGCCTAGAAGTACGATGTCCTGTGGGTATAAAGTTCTTCATTACTTCTTACTAAATCCATCTCTCAACATTGTGCAGTCTGGACAGGATCGGTCCGGTTTTTGCTTGGTTCCTTCCCTGTGTTTAACCTGTTTCTAGCGTCTCTCCAAAATGAGTGTTAATCTCTGAGAAAGCCACCTCACAACATCTCAGGGTTCATGATGGTATCCCACTTCACTGCTAGGTGTTTGGGGATCTTCAGTGTCTCACCAGGGTCAGGATATTTTCCCTGTGGCACTGGAGATGTGGACCTGGGGACTTGGCTGGAGCTGAATTACTTCATTCAGCTTGGACACGTGCCGGCATCCAGGCTCTGCTGCGACTGTACGGGGATAGGAACGAAGAGTCCAATCCCATCTGCTCTTATGCATCCCTCAACCCAGGATATCAGCTCAGCTTGAACACACAGCGCTTCGTCCCAAATGGCTGAGGGTCTCCTTCCTCTCCCTCGAGTTCCTTCTGCTTATGGCACCTTCTTTATCTTTCTCTGACTTTCCTTCTGAGCCCTCGTCCCCAGTGTCAAATCTAGTGCCTGCTTCCGATGGATCCAAACGTTTGGGTCTTCATCTCAGCCTGACCCACTAAAAGGATTTCTTAATTATTCAAGTCCACCTCTCTCATCCTAGATGGTGTGGGAGGCTCTTTGTGATGGCTTATTTTCTTTTGTTTGTGGCCTGACCCTTAGGAGTTGAGCCTTTTTCTGTAACAGACTGCCTCAAGAATCCCAGTCATGCTCAACACAGAGCTACAGTGTCACTAGTCACAAGAGAGCTTTCACTCATGGGGGAGTGTTCACTCATGGGAGGGAGTGTTCACTCATGGGGGAGTGTTCCCTCATGATGGGGAGTGTTCCCTCATGATGGGGAGTGTTCACTCATGGGGAGTATTCACTCATGATGGGGGAGTGTTCACTCATGATGGGGAGTGTTCACTCATGGGGAGTATTCACTCATGATGGGGGAGTGTTCCCTCATGATGGGGAGTGTTCACTCATGGGGAGTGTTCACTCATGGGGGAGTGTTCACACATGAGAGGGAGTGTTCACTCATGGGGGAGTGTTCACACATGAGAGGGAGTGTTCACTCATGGGAGGGAGTGTTCACTCATGGGGAGTGTTCCCTCAGAGAAGTACTTCTGTTTTGCACAGACTTTGGTGCCAGCACAGCATGGAGATGAGTAGAAATTTTGTCATTAGGCTTAGACATTTTTTTAATTGACTTGACCACTATGGTGGATTGTTTTCACCTTGGATACAGGGAAAATGATTGCTCATAGCTTAGATCAGTACTGAGCTGCGTGTTAGCTTTGCACTGTTGTGAAAAACTACTTGATCAATTCTGGCTCCATTGCTTTAGGGCCCAGGATGAGACAGGATGAGACACCATGGTGATGTATGCACTGGTAGAGTAGTGATGCTCACCTCACAGAACCCAGAAAGCAGAATGAGAGGAAGGGACCAGGGACAAGGTTCACCACTTGCAACTGACTTACTCCAGCTCCCTTCTCTTAATAGTCCACACAGCTACAGATTAATATTGATGAGATAAATGTGCTTATCCAATTACCTCTTGGCAGCTCCATCAGCTGAAGACCAAACCTCAACACATGAGCCACTGGGAATATTTTGTATCCAAACCAAACAGCCTCCGGGTTTTTCTCCAAACAGATGCCCTAGACTCCTGAAACATGGTGAACTGTAGAAATTTTTCTGTGGGTGGGCTACAGCAGAGCCAGAAGAGAGGACTTAGAGTGTGGGTCTGGGACCAAAGATAGCACTGACTCTGTACAATCTTTGCTTTTTTCTTTTTAAAACTAATTAATTAATGTTATGTGTATGGGTGTTTTGCTTGCATGTATGGCCGTGTACCATATGCATGTCTGGTGCCCACAGAGGCCAGAAGAGGGTATCAGATCTCTGATTACTGATAGTTGTGAGTCCAGGTCCTCTGGAAGAGCAACACAGGGTCTTAACCATCTCTCCAGCGCCCACTTACTTGCCTTTGCTGTCATGGGGATTGGCTTTAGGACCACATGCATGTTAGGGAGGGGCTTTACCATGGGGTTGCACCCCCATCCCTAACACTGTTAATTCTGGAAGGTCATGTTTTCCCATTTTAGGTCAGGAAGCACAGATGGGCCTTTACTGTCTGTTTCCTATACTGATTGAGACTCACATGCTAAGTGTGACAGCAAGCAGTGCATGCTTCTGGGCAATGGACAAAGGGGACATGAACGAAGGCACTGCCTTCTCTCAAGGAGCAGAAAATGTCTGCAGGACTTTTTCGTATCGGTAACTTGTTTGATTGTACTTTTAATAGATTTTAACTAAGGGGAGGAGGAGTGGATATCACTTACCCCACCATTATGGCTTTGAAAAAGAGAAATAAAGAGTTACACCGGCTATACCTAAGGAGGTGTGGGCTGAGCCAGGGATGATGGTGAGCATGTCCATACTGTCTCTGAGCGTCATCTAAAAAGCGTATGAGGGCAAGGTAACAACCAAGTTTCCCTCTTGTAACTGCTGTTGCACTTATGTGTTTGTATTTCTCTGTATTATTTAAAGGCACAATATCTATTTTCTCGGTTGTTCCTCATGACAGACCCATGGTAGAGGAAACCGAGCCATGTGTTAAAATGTAGAAATGTGTGCATTATGACAACACCGACAATGTTCACAGGTGCACGTGGCAGGCAGGGTCTGGACGAGAACAGGAAGACATTCTCCTAGGCGTTGGCTAAAGTGTTCGTTCTTTAACCTTTTTTAGAGATGGCATGTTTAATAATGAAAGCTGGGAAGAGCTGATGCCTGCTTGAGGTGATTATCTGAGGGCAAGGTGTGTGGGGCTTTGCTAGGTTGCTCTGGCTGCCTTCATCCTGGGGCTAGCCAATCTCAAAAGTGTCAGAGGACATTTTCCTGGGGTCATTTCAACTAACTGCTCCCCTAGCTCCGACTCCTCTCCAGGCCACCTCCCTTTCAGGGCAAGCACCCAGTGGCACCCAGTCTGCATCTTGCCTGACTCAGTGGGGGGTTCCCCTTTGCACCACTGACACATCCCACATCCCAGGCTTTGGGTTCCCAAGCTTGCATGCTTCACCTCCAGGTGCTGTGATTGTAGCACAGTACAGATGGCTGTCCTGAGGGGAGGGGATCACTCCTATTTTCATCTGTGGTTTTACCAGCTAGTTCATACTAGATTTCGAAAAGAAGCCTGGTGTAGGAGTTGTTCTCTCTTGCCAGTAGGTGAGTGATCTCTGGCCTTGGTATGGACCCGAAGCCTTCTCTCAGTGTCTTCCTACTAGGTAGGCCGAATGTGCCTGGAGGTAGCCCCGGCTGACGGAGAACAGTTTCAGAAGGTGCTTTGGTCTCTAAGTACCTTGGCTGGCTGGCCAAGTTTCGGTCACACAAGGCATGGAAGCTCGGCTTCCACATGAGAATCTGCACCTATCTGCCTGAGAATGTGGAAGTGGGCGTGCCTGTGAAATGGCTGGACATGCCAGTGACAGAGCAGGAGTAAGGTGGAGAAGGGGACTTGGGTTTCTGGATAGTGTATCCCTGCGCTGATGGTGTGCACGTTGCAGCAAACGGTTTTCGTTTAAGCAAATTTGAGAGAGCTTTGTACTCTTAAGAGTGCAAGATCGCGGTTGTCAGGTAGAGAGCTTGGAGTGTGCCATCTCACCGGCTTCTGCATTGTGTGTCCACTTCTGTGTGTTTTGGAGAATGCATCTTCTGCACACATCCTGCCTTAACAAGACATTTGTCTGTTGTTGTGTGCAAGTCTGTCTTTGCGGCAATGCCCGAGTCCTGTTTGCGGCTGCTTGCTGTCTTTCCAGCCTTACTTGCGCCTGCAGTCAGGCTCTGCACGTGCGCCAGCATCGGTGCGCACGTCCCCGAGTGACCCTTGTGCGGTGCCCGGGGACCTCTGGGTCGTGTGCACTGGCTGCCTGTCACTGCGCTGACGAATGCATGTCCGGGAGCACGTCTCCCGTTGTGTGCACGCTCCGTGTGCACGCCGCCCGTCCGCCCGCTCGCCCACGTGTGTGTGTGTGTGTGTGTGTGCGCGCGTGTGTGTGTGCAGGGCGCTGCGCGCTGCGGCCGGAGGACCGAGCCAGGTTCCACGCGCCCCGCGCTCCCCCCATCCCCCGCGCGCACCGCAGCGGGCCCCGCGATTGGCCGCCTGCTCCTCTAGCCGTCACCTCCTCCCCCGCCCCGCGCGCCCGCGGTCCCCGCTGTCCCCCGCGGTTCCGGCGAGGCCGCGCCGCGCTGCGCTCCGCTCCCATTGGCTGCGCGCGCCTTTGTGTGGCGGCAGCTGCGGCCCCAGCGCCTTTGAATGTCGAGAGGGGCCGGGAAGGGAGCCTTTCCATGGGCCATCTGTCTCCCCGCCAGCCGCCGCCCCGCCGCCTGCGCCCCGCGCTCCGCCTCCCGCCCCGGCGGCTCCCGCAGCCTCGCCGCCCGCGCCCCGGAGCCGCGCCACAAAGGGCCCGCGCGCAGCCGCCGCCGCCGCCGCCGCCGCGCGAGGAGCCAGGATGGTCCTGGTCCACGTCGGCTATCTCGTGCTTCCAGTGTTTGGCTCTGTGCGAAACAGAGGTATCGCTTTTTCCTTTCGGGGTCTGCTTCCTTCCGAGCGCGGATCGCCGCAGGCACCGGGCGGGGGCGGGGGCGGGGGCGGGCGCGGCGGGCGGGGGCGCAGGCACAGCCGCGGGGCGAGGCGAGCGGTGCTGCTTCCCACCCCCTTCTGGGGAGACCCCCGAGTGTGGGGTGGCACCCTCGCGGGAGCTTTTGTAGTGAAGTTAGGGTTTGGTGAATTTGGGTCCCTTCCTCCCCAGCCCCATATTTTTTATTATTATTATTTGCGGCGGACATGGTTCCTCCAAATCAGCCCCTTCCCCAACCTAGCCCTGTGTGACCGAAAGGAGATGCATGCCGTGCGTGAGTGTGTGTGTGTGTGTGTGTGCGCGCGCGCGTGCGTGTGTGTGGGGGGGTAGATTTGGTTTTCAGTGATTTTTTAAAAGACATTTGTGCGTTTTGTTCTGTTTTGTATTTTATTTTTTTCATTTTGGGGGTCTTAAGGCCAATGGCGGTGAGCTGGGATCAGCCCCATCCCATGCTCCTTCCTTCTCATGGTTACTGGTACCTTCTTGTCCCTTTTCTCTCATTTAATCCTTTTTTTGTTTTATTGCCCTTATTCTGTAGCCTGCACACCTCCCTCCCCGGCAACTGTCTTTGTATGACAGTAGCAGTTACAGGTTCAAAATGCTTGTATGTATGCGTGTGCATGTGTATGTGTGTGTATGCATGTATACGCGTGCGCGCGCGCGTGTGCTTACGCGCTTCGGAAATCAGACGTGCGCTACCTTGCACCCCTGGGCCGGTCCGGAGCGGGTTGTCTGTTTCTTGGGTGTTGAGTTGTGCGTGAGAATGAGGTGGGAAGCTGCCCCCACGCCAGGCCTTTGCCCGGGGCAGGGGTTGACCAAGCAGCAGGCTGGCGATGTCTTTGTTTTTAACTGTGGTATATGGGGTGTGTTTGCACGGTCCCTCTTCCCTACACCCCCTTTTCCTTACATTTCCCTGCAACAATAGCTTGGTTTCCCCCACTCCACATTTCTTCCATTTTCTTTTAATCAAAAATGCCCACCTCCCAAAGCAAATCTGAAATACATCAATTCATTTTTTTTTTTTTTTTCCTTCTTTTTGTATTCTGCCTCTGGACTCACATTTCTCTTGGAAATGTTTCTTCTCACCCAGTCCACATCTGCTTAAATCCCTACTGGCTAAGCATCCCCTCCTTTTACAAGAATGATGTCTTCCCTTGGCCTACCGACCCCCTCTGGTCAGAGCTGGGGGTGGGTCACGGAACCTGCGCTTTAGTGCGCCCCAGGGGCCAGACTGCACCAGGCTAGGAAAGCCCAGCCCTCCTTCAGTCCAACTCTCCCCAACCTCGTGCCTCTCCCCAGAAATCTCAAGGCAAGGTTGGCCCCTTAGGCCTGTTTGAACTGCGGTTTTTTTTGGTGTGTGTTGATAGAATGATGACATTCTGCATTTATCAAATCTTTTTTTTTTTTTTCCTTCATTGTGTAGCTCAGTGAATGGTCAACTCGCTGCTGTGTGCGCTGTGACCCTTCTGCCTCCGCATTTAGCTGTATTGTGACACCCTCTTAACCATTTCCTGTCTCCATCCGAGGAAGGCATTGCTATTTAAGCGGCAGGTATCCCCTATCTCAGGCCAGCGTGGTGTGGTTGGGGGGGGGCTGGTAGAGTAGGTCAGGACTAGATTATGAAATGCCACCCTGCTCCCCAATACACAATTATCTCTTATTACTTGGCATTTCCTCTTAAAACGGGTGTGGAGCATTACACTAGGCAGAAATTCAAAAATGATTAAGAAGGGTGTTGAGCCTGAAAGTATAATTACCCTGATTAAATCATTATCATCCTCATTAATACCACCGATCTCTAAATATCATTGCAGCATGCTGGTTCCCTGTTCTGAAATTCAAATTGTTCAGCTGCCTTTAAGATTTATTTTTACTAACCCTCCCTTCCACCAACAAAAATCCAACAAAACCAATTCTGCCTGTCAGAATTGCAGTGGCAAACTTTCACGGTAAACACACCCACATCAAATTTTAGGGTCTGAGGAGTGAGTTGGGCTGTGGGTGAAATTTAACACGGTGCGCTAAGAACCCGTGACCCTTCTGATAGAGGATACTAAAGCTTAACTCAAAGGTCCTAAACCACAAATTCTCTTGTAAAACTATTAGTCTGCTAGCTTAAGCCTGTTCTTTTAGTTTCCATTGTAGTAGTGTAGGATGTAGGCCATTTCAGAATAGATGTAGAGAAATAACCATTTTTGTATCTTCATCTTGTTTAGCTGAGTACATTGCACTGTAAATCCCTGTTAAGTGGATTCCTTTTGCCTTGGCTTGGAGGCTGTAGCAGCCCATTTTCCGCTTGTCTGGGTGACCATCAGCTGGCCTCCCAGCAGCACCCAGGCATAACATTTAGTTGGAGGCAAAATTTATTAAATATATATATTAAAAAGAAAATCTATGATGAAAGACAGTTGCTGCTTATTTTAGCCTTCTGAAAAAAAAATGGATGAACCAAGGTCTCTGGCTTAAGGGGAGCTGCTGTGGCCATAGGGCCCTAATTGTTTAATTGTACAATGTCAAGAGCATCTTTGGACATCTGCCCTGGCCCTCAGGGCTGCCCCTTTAACAGCCGGCTCCCTTCTGCTGCCTGGCCAGCCAGACCTGCTCGAAAACTGAAACAAAACAGCAGCAGTCATAAAAGAATAAGGCGCCTACTTTGAGGGCCCTTCCAAAACAGTCATAAGCAGCCTCCCCAGAATGCCGTTTGGCAATCTGAAAAGAAAAAGAAAAACTCAAAACAAAACAAAACAACAACAACAAAAACCTCAGCAAAATGGTTTTCCATTAAACAGGGGTAGCGTGTTCTGCTGTGCTGAATTTTACTTCTTGTTCTTATTTTGTGGGTAATTTTTTATGTATCAAATATCCTTTTGGTTGTGTATCTTTTCACCTTGTACTAAAACTAAAGCATGGTCTGTATTTTTTTACATCCCCCAGTTGACACTGTACAGCGCTCGGTTAGAGACGTTCCCCTGCTGAACCGTACTGTGGTCGTGTAGCCCGGCCATCTGCTCATTGTACGCTGCTTTTGTTGTTACCCTTCCGAAGCATGGTGGGCCCAGCCTTTTCTTTTTCTTTTTTTTTTTTTTCTTTTTTTTTCCTTTTCTTTTTTTTTTGTATCGTGTGCATGATGACATTGTTACACACAGAATCCACTAATACTAATATACAATCTCAATAAAGAACTAGTTTTCCTATATTAACCTAGTGTGCTTTTTCTCTTGCTGTCTCCCCCATTGATTGTCGTCCCCTGCTGTTTAGAGCCTCCTTGCTTTTCTGTCCTCAACCTCGCCCACCGCCACCCCACCTCCCATTGTAAGATTTGAGTGAATGCCCTTTTCTTCCCTCCTTTTCCTTTCCTTTTTTTTTTTTGTTTGTGGTGTAGAGATGATGACTCTAATGTCATGTAGCCCATATCTCATAACAATAGAAGCCTGGGGCCACGGGAAGGGTCACTTGTCCTGCCACACTGAAACAGCCCAACCGCCCACTTTTCATCCTAAGGTCCAAGGAACGAGGCATTGGAGAGAAAGGGGAAAGTCACACTGAGTTGAGAAAGGGGTACTGTACTTAACTAGCAACCTTGCAGAATTGACTCACCCGAGAAGCCCATTTTGAGTTGTGTTTTGACTTTTTGTTCACTGTCTCATTGATTTACTGTCCTTACAAATCATGCGGTGGGGGGGGGGCAGGGAGGGAGACACGTGTGACATGTAGCTGAAGCCATGATCCAAAGCATCCCTTTCTATGTGTGCATTGGAATTCCTGAGACCTACAAATGTTAAGTTTGTCATTTGGACCCTGGGTAAGGAAGATGTTTGGGATGGAAGCCCCTGATACCCTCCCCATCCCAGGGCAGCAGCCCCATCTGGACTGTAGGGATAGGAGTCTGCACTTTCTGTGGGCTGTGAGCCAGTTAAAGCTGATTACAGCCTGCTTGCCCGACAGCTGCTTCATCTGTGGCCCTAGGGCCTCTCTGGGGAGAAAGCAAAGCAGATCTGGCCTTTGTCTCAGAGTGTGTGCCCCTTGGAGCGGGGTGGGGGAGGTCAAGAGGGAAGTCAGGACCCATGTCCAAATTGAATTGCAAGAACCCTTTACCCCCTCCTGCAATTGCTCTGGAAAAGCCAACAGAAAAGTGCCCCCCCCCCCAGAGTGGAACCCAAATTCATGCATTTGTCAATTACATCTATTCAATTCTAGCCCAGAACAAGCTTTGTTAAATGAGGCGTTTTAGACACCAGAGGAAATCAGTTGATTAAAGAAGTTCATGGTTCCTTCAAGGGGTCATCATTTTGAAGCCGTTTCTCTTGGCGGATGTGCTTAGTCCTGGCTGTCTAGGCCAAGTCTTCTGGGCGGGTCTCCGATGGTCGGTCCCCTCAGGGAGGATGGCCTGCAACTTCACGGGAGCCTGACCCCTCTGCTTCCTTGCTTCTTTGTGGCCTCCCGAGACACTGCCCACCCCCAAGAGCTGCCCTCTCTGCTCTGGTCCTTTGTTCCTTTCTTCCCAGCCTGGGAGGAAAAGCCGAACAGATTCACTGTGACACATGGACACACGTGACACATGGGCACACATGGGTGTTCTTGACGGAGGCTTGTGCTATGGTGTGTGCAAAAGGGAGCATACAGATCTATGAGGCCAGGCCCTTGAAGCTTTCCTGGTTTGTCTTTAATTTATTCTCTTTTTGGTTTATTTGAGACCTAAGTTTGGTAAAAGCAAAATGACACTTCCAACCAACGTCGGTAACGATCAAAGCACATTGAGTGACCACTGTCATTTCCCCCTAAAGATAGATCAGTGTTAATCAACTCTAAGATCTTACATTTTTTTAAAGTTAATGTTCAGTATTTCAGAATTCTCCAGCAGTACATTTCAAAGATACTTCTTCAGTAATCCAGAAGTAGTACAGAATGCAATTGGCTTAATAGCAATTGCGC